ATAAGCTTAACAAGCTAATTAATCAAAATAATAAAAAAATATATTTTTCACAATTGGGGACTAAACAAGTGCACAAAAAATAAAAATTGTGTGAAACCTTAAATTGATGAAAATTGACATTTAATCTAAAAGTTAAAACACAAAAAATGGATCTAAACCTAACAAATACACCACCCAGCAATGCCCTTACCTCAGTTTTGGGTAAAAAATCCTCTAAACCCAACAACTCGATGAACAAACCCCAAGTTTCTCATATTTTCTAGATTTTTCCTATAATGACCAACCAATTTCTAATTTAAAATGTCAAAAAAACAATCTCATGATATCAAAGCAACGCCGAACAAAATTTCAATCAAACTTAAGTGAAAACACTCGGCCACGTCTAATCCATTAAAAAAAGAAAGAAAGAAAAAACTCAAGACCAAAAACTGCGGCTTTAGTCTCCAACTAAAGATGATGTGGAAATAGGTGGAATTAGTCTAAATAGTTGGACTTGGTGCTTTGGTAAGAGTAGGATGAGAATTCTTGCAATCCGCGTTATTTAACTTGCTTAAGAATGTTCTATTTGTATACTTCATGAGACATTTTCAAAGATTAATATATATATATATATTTTGATGTTTTCAAAGATTAATATTTAATAACTTATTCATCACCTTTCATTGATAAATCTAATACCAAAATGATTTGAAGGCTCTAGGTTTTTTGAAACTTGTTTATTATTAGGTCAAATGAATCGTCTAAAATTTATAATTAAAGAAATTTAATTATTTTTAAACATTCCATTTACATTTTTACCCTTTAATTAATCCTTCATGCAAAAGGTTAAAATGATATTTTGACTGTGTGACACAATGATTTTTTTTTTATGAGTTAGGACTAATTTTTAAGAACAAATTTTCAGAAGAATTTATGGTTGTTATTAATTATGGTGTAAGTCTTATATATATAAATTAGCCCACATAATTACTGGTTGAAATAATTTTGTCTTAAATTTTAGTGGCAATAATTATTACCCCACAGTAAAGATACAACAATCAAGTATAAGCACAAAATTTTTTAAATAAAACCCTAAGAGTAAAACTCAAGAAAATGATATAATTTTAATATTAAGTGATATTATAAGGTCATAATAATAATATAGTATATAATTAAATATTTTTATTTAAGAATCTATTCATAATACTATATATATTAATTTATTTAAGAACACATTATAATTATAACTTAAACCTTACTTGACATTATAATTTTAATATTATTATTGTAAAACTCACAACCTTAAAGACTTTGGAGTCAGTTTTTAATTCTTCAAACCACATAAAAGGGCTCATTGCTATTCTCCACATGATGGGCGAAGTGGTACCACCCTGCGTCGCAAGTGGGAACACAACTAGGGTGTTTGGTGTTTGACCCTCAGCTTCCTTTACCCTCAGCTTCCTTTACCCCTACCCCCTATTAAAAGATTGTAATGGCAGTTATGGGGATAGGTAATTATATTATATATACAAATATATATATATATATATATTCAAAATTCACTTATACACAAATTTTACCTTCTACATTTATCTAAAATTTTAGTGATTTTTTTTTCTTAAGATAAATTATCAATATTTTATGTAAGTATGATGTATAAGACTCATGTATAAGAAAATCTCTCCTTATATATACACAAAAAAAGTGAGTATCAATATATATATTACAAAAAATTAAGTGAAAAAATATTTTAAAACTATGCCTTTTTAATAAAACTCATTGAAAAAGATAAGATATACTAATTTTTAAAATAGGAATGAGGTTATTTTAGTCCTTTCATATAATATTTTATTAAAATAACATAATTTTAAGATATTTTTTAGCTAATTTTTTTATAATATATGCTAATATCCATTAATGTAATCTAGATTGAAGAGATCCACTTACACATAAATCTTATATATTACACTTACACAAAATTTCAACCATTCATTTCTCCATTTTCAGTGGTTGAGATTTATTAATATTTTTAAAGATAATTATTTTTTCATTTAAAAAATTATGATAAATCTTAACTATGAAAGTAAAGAGAAAAATTATTGAAATTTTATATAAATATAATATATAAAATTTATATGTACGCAAATCATTCTCATATATAATAATATATGTATATATTATAATAAATTAATTATTTTATTTACAAATGAGAATCACCTATAACCAATGTGTTCCTATGTTAGTGGACAATGATTCTTCCGACTTGATAAGAAGTGTTTCAGGCGGTGGCAGGGGAGGAGAAAGACTTTTCCTCCCTTTACTTAACAATTCCTTCTGCATTTGAGGATGTGTTTGGTAAACTTTCTTAGGAAATATTATCTTCTAACTTTTTTTTTCTCAGCAAAATAAATTTTATTATAAGTAAAATACAAGGGTATTTTAGTTATATCAGTAGATTAAATTTTAATATCATTCTTAATAAAGCTTTATCAATAGAAATAAACTTTTAGATCTAATGACTCGTCCTCAATGATTCATTTCTAAATCTTAAATATTTAAGTATAGTCAAAAACTCAATTCTCACTAACGATATTTAAAAACAAATTTCCTTATTCCCAAATTTCCTCCATATTAAAAAAAATAAAAATAAAAACTTTGCCAGTAAAGCTTGTCTTCACCCATACAAACCCTCTAATGGAGTGAACGAGGGAAGGGAAAAGGAGGGAAAACGTTTTTTTTTTTTTTATCACTCCTTATCCTATGTAAAATGAGGGGAGTGCACATATGATATCACTCCTTATCCTAGTTGTCCCTTCTTCAATTATCTTCCATTTTTTTAAAAAAAAAATTTTAACAAAGAAAATTACACGCCGGAGAATCATGACCCGAGCACAACCTGCATCAGTCATTAACTGCTCAAAACCTACTCTTTTCTTCTTCTCCATTTCTGACTTTTTCTTCGTTGGAATCGAAGCTTTTTTTTTTTTTTTCTTTTTCTTAAAGATACTTTTTCAGAAAGAGGAGGGAGACAGATTAAGCAGAATCAGATCCTAGTACTTCAGGTGCATACCGAACGTTTTGGAGCTGTTTTCCAGTCGGAGTTCGAGATTTGGTCGCCTGGATCTGAGTCAAGATCCGATGTTCTTCGCTATTCATCGGAATTTTTACCAGAATAACAATCGCCGCCATCATTATCAGCACAATAGCAGCCACCATCACCAGCATGATCTGGATTGCTGTCACCGTCTCCGGCAGTCGACCCACGAGCGGCCTATTCGTTCCTTTGCCTCCTCCCACTCTGTAAGTTCATTTATCTTTCTGTTTACTTATGAGATAGCAGTTCAGCACCCAATATCAAAGGTTCGACCTTCATGGATGGGATGGTTATAAAATGTACTGTCTATCATGGATGGTTAGAAAATTTGTATGGACAGTACCTTCTATAACCATCCATAAAGTTTCAAAAGAAAAAACTTTCTTTATAAAGTTTTTCAAAGTAATTTTTTATCAAATGCAATAACTATAAAATTAATATTTTAATAGAATTTTAATAAAATTTTATTACAAAATTTAATAATTTTTTAATAGAATACCTTTTTGCATACTATTTTTTCAATCATTTTCTCAGTGAAAATAATACACTTTTTTTTTTCGAAACTTAATAGACTATATACAATATGGTAGAACATAGTCATCCTTTGAGAAATTCAAATTTGAGATATGGAAATGGGTAATTTTTTTAGTTCCTTGTTATCTGTTTGTTGATGGTAAAAAGATTAAAAAATATATATATTTTTAGGTGGAAATGGGTAATTTTTCAAAATATCTAATCAAAAGTTTGTTTATTGTTGTTTTTAATTGAAAATAATTCACTTAAAATAATTTCTTGCAATAAAATCTTATAATATTACATTTACTAGCTTGATGAGATTTCATTATTAGAGATTGCTAGTTTTTATATATTACTTTCTAGAGGAATAGAAGGGAAGTTAATATATATGTAAACTTGTACTTATTTAGTATAAATTACTTTACAATTTGAATATTGAGTCTTGGTAATTTATCCTGAGAAATAGATGAATGCAATGAACAGAGTAATAGCAAAATTTATCATTTCAACTGCATTTTCAGCTGTTTTGCCATTTTTATATATGATTTGCATATCTGATTAGGAGCGCAATTTTGATTGGCTTGATCAGGGAGACAACCAGGTTGTGCCAAGTAACAGGACAAGTGAAGATGCTGTAAGCGGTATGAATTTGAGCTCAAATGAGAGGCTTCCTAGTGCTGTGCTGCTTGCCAAGGCAAGACTTGTTGAGAGACTGAGGGGAGTTCTTGTTTCTGGGAACAGGTTGGTATTTAGAGGTGCATGCAAGTTTGAATTTTGTGGTTGGGTTGTTCTTGCTTAACTCGATTTAATTACATTTTTTATCTTACATTTTTAGAGAACATGTCTATCTTTCATTTTAGAGAAAATGAACTGAAGAGAAAGGACAAGGGGCAGTGAAAATTGAATATCATTTAGTTATTTTGTGCATTTTTGCTGCATTTAGATTAGAATTTTGCTGTAGTAATATCTTAATATGATAGATCCTGGGTTCAACAAGGTTCAACAAACACAATGACAATTTTGTTACCTTATCATCATGAGAGATCTTAGGTAGCTAATTCAGTAATTCATACTTCAAAACTATTATTTTTGTCATTTTTTTTAGTCTATGCAAAATTGCCAACCATCCTTCCCATGTTTTCAGTATGCTGAAATCTGGTCCCCTGCAGTTCCTTCACTTTTGTGCTCAAATTCACATGAGACTCACTATAACATAAATTGCTAACTGCTAAACCAGTATTGCCTTTTGCTACTTTCCTTAATTAGTACTACCTAACATGCTCGGATGCTCCACCACCTGTTTCTGTTTCTTCATTGACCTTCATACCACTTTAATGATGCATGCTTATTATACCTTCGTTTGTTGAATCTAACTAGTGTTTGCTTTTAGGCGTAGTGGCAGAGCTTTATCAGGCAATTACGAGAGGGAATACATCGCTGGTGATGATTTAAGGCTTGTTGATGCAGGGGACTGGGGTAGTGGTTCATTGGCTGTAGGCTCTCCTTCTGCTATGTTGACCTCTCAAACAGAAAGGCCTCAGTCCTTGCTAGAAACAAAGAAGAAGCCACCTGGTCTAAGTCAGGCCGCCCTGGACAGTCTGCAGCCTGAGATTTTCAGCAGCAGGGAAAGGATATTGTCAATGGAATCAAGCACTTGTGTTCCCCGTAAAGATTACTGGGACTGTACCATATGTTTGGATAGCTTCAAGGAGGGAGACAAGCTTACACGGCTCCCTTGCGGGCATAGATTCCACTCTACTTGCTTGAATCCTTGGGTTAGAACGTGTGGGGACTGTCCATATTGTCGAAGAGGTATACGTCCTTGAGAATTTTAAGATAAACTCCTATAGAAGTTACATAGATAAATTCCTATAGAAGTTAGGTAAAAAATCTATAATTAATTATGATGTATCATTAAATAATAAATTGATACATATTGTCTAATATAAGAGATAAACCCTTAAATAAAAACATATAAAATTATAAAATTTTAATATTATGTAATATTGTAACAATATAAAATTTAAATTATTTTATGTAATAGGATATTATAGAGAGTACTTGTAAAAAGGGTTGTTCATCCAAAAATAAAAAAAGAAGACTTGTAATAAGGGTTAATTAACAGATTTGAGGGTTAATTAACAAATTAGAGAAGAAAAATGGTCAGAGAACGCGTAAGAAAAAGACTAGCGGCATAAGTCAAGGCGGACGCCCGAGAGAGGAAATTGCGTGGTAAAAGAATTTCCAAATAAAAAATGGAGGAAAATAAAGAAATAGGATAAATATAACTTTAGTTCCAAACTTCTAAATTTATGGTCACTAAAACCTCCAACCTTTATTTCTTTTAACTTCATTGCAAAATCTCCAAGTTTTTCATCCGAAGATATTCACTCCATCACAACAAAATTAATACAAAGACATTACAATTCAATCGAAACCTATTTATCGTCCATGTTAAGGCCAAATTGGCATTGATGTGGACACCTTTAAGTGAAATTAAACACTAAAAAACCTAAAAATTTAAATTTTAATCTAATTTAATGAGTTAAAATATTTTATTTTTAACATAAGATTCTAATTAAGGTTTCTTCTCTTAAAAACTAAAAGCATTAAGATCCTAGGGATGTCAACATTGGCTCTAGTAATCATGACATATTTCATCTATTTCTTCTTAATTAAATAACATAAGAAATAATATGTTTGTTTATTTGCTAACCTTTCCCTATCTCTAGGCTCTACTCTTTTTTAATGGAGAGAATGAGTTTACTAAAGAGTGGTCCTCTCTTAGCTATCCTCTCATCACTTACAAAAGTTTACTGTAATGTTGTAACTATGGTGAATGCATTTATTGTCATTAACTATATAAATAAATATATCAATTAGTCTAAAGTTTGAGTCATATGACATATTATTAGAATAAGTTAAGGAAAAAAAGATGATTGTCTCTTATTATGTAACTTAAAATAAAAAAAATAAATCAATAAAATAACACTAACAACATATACATAATTGGTAAAGTAGTAATCAAGATGTTTCAAATAAAAATGCACGTAATTTCATGGTGTTTAATGGATAAAGTTCAATTCAAGTTCTCAAATCTCAACTTAGATTGTTGAATTCAAATTCACTTAGCTTAAATTTTATTTTAAGATGGACAAAAGATAAAATTTGAAGAAAACAAATATTGTAGCATTTTTTAATACAAACCAACAAAGTTTAGGGTATAAATTTGCACAGCCCAAAAAAATAATCATGATTAAAAAATAAATTTTAGTATTTTACAGTTTAGATTGTAAAACACTAATTATTGAATAAAAGGCATCACACCTATTAGCAGAGTTTTTCGTTATTTAGCAGTTAGAGTATGTTTGATTAAAAAAAAATGACTTCATATTAAAATATTTTATAATGTTTAAAAAACTTTTTATGAAAATATTTTCTATTATTTGGTAAGCAAAGAAAAATCTCTAAATTTTTTAAAATATTAGTTAATTAAAGATTAAAAAAATTGAAGATGCAGCCAGCGCCCAAATAAAACAAAAGATGCAGCCACGTCGGTGCTGTTTAGGAATAAAGGGTGCTGGATTTTTCCCAACACAAGAACCATAGTGAACTCTATGGAAATTAATAGGACTTATTTATGTTTCTCAATAAAGTACGAGGATTTAAATTCAGCAAAATTTTACATTGTCGCAATGCTAGCAACTTCGTTCAGACGGAGATTTCAGGGCGGCGGGCAGGGTGTTTTTGGAGAAATTAACTTTCCGGATTTCAAATTCAAAAGTCAATTTCCATTTAAAACCGAAAGTCAGTTTTCAAAAAATTAAGTTTAACTTTTTCTTTATTCAAAGTTTATTTTTATTGACTTATTTTTTGAAAAATTTCCTAACATAAGAAGAAAGAAATTAGTATATATCTTCACTGATTTTTGAAAAAATTAAAATTAAAATTTTATTTAAAATTATAATTATAA